GGTTTTCTTTTGCTGGCAGTTTGGAGAGCTGTCTTATTATTTTGGATGGCGCTCAAAAGAGTGGAGATTCGACAAGCATATAAAAGGTCTATTTTTCATTTGCTGAGTGCAAAACTTCAGAGTCAATATGTGCACGTGTGACGCACTTAAGCCGATAAGTGATGCGGAGAAATGTTGGGAAACTTTCTGTGCTGCTTAGCTGATAATGAGTAAAATGTGTCCAATTTCACTGCCCAATGTCTGCCTTTCGAGCCGCACCATTTTCGGGTTATAAACATGAATAAAAACAGAGAAAACTCGCAATTAAGCATGTAAAATGAACACAATAATAATGGAATGGGACATACAGAGAAACCCAAACGCATGTGGACTTGTTATATATAAACGTTTCATTTTAATTGATTCCTGTATGTATGACTAAGTCCATATTGTCCTGAATTCAACACATGGGTGCTCAGAAAAAAAGTACATTTCACCTACCACCTATCCCCTCCTCAATGTCATATGTAGCCATTTTTTTTATTATCCAAAATATCTAATCAGATGCAGCTACAGGGAAATAGGTGTCAGTTCGGCAAATTGTGTGTAGGAGATAATTGAACTGTTTAGAGCACCACTAAAGTTAATCTGCCAAAACAGTTTTTTTTCATATGCCAGATATTTTTTAGTGCCATTAAAAATAAGTTTAATCTATGGTTTTAGCTAAATCTGTTCAAATGTAGTGTCAATTGCAAAACATGTGGTAGACAGTTTTTTCCAATGTGGCTTTTCTGCAATTGGCAAATAAAATCTTCTATCTTGTATCTTGTATGTTGAAAATTGTAACTAGAGGAGTACTTCTTCAATTTTCCAAACGGAGACATCTGTTTTTTTGGGAAAGAACTCTTCATAAGTTTGGTAGAATGACACAGCTCCAAAATCCCAACAAATCTAAAATCTTATATGAAGAAATGGCAGCAGTAAAATGTGAGAATGTTTTCCATATTGACAGACGGATCACCAAGGAGACACAAACTTTGCTTTGATGTAGCGACAAAGCAAACGCAGCCAATGAAATATCTTGCGATGCCGGAAGTTCTTGAATGTACACTTACATTTGAGAGTTAGTCAACAATCACTTTGAATTTATACTTATTTATACAAATCATGGACTCTAAAAGCAGTCACTGTGTTGAACATTTTTGCCTCGAGTTTAGCACAAACGTCTACACACATGGTATATAGTAACATTTAAAGCCAATATTGTCGACAAGATACCGCTAATATCGTCCATATTCGAATGGTGGTACGTCTAATTATATCTCATTTACATACAACACACGGTATCAGCTGCAGTGTACTTTTTTATATCTTATTTGTTAGTGAAGAAAACAGCCATTGTCAACAAGAAATTACAGTTTGTGTTGCTGGGGTACCTAACTTTCAAGCCACAAAACAGTTTGGCTCCATCGCTAGTTCGTCATGTTTAGATCCGATTTTTTTCCAGACAGAAACGTGAAAAATAAGAGTGTCCCCTTCGCTCGACTCTCAGCCCATTAAGTCAAATAGTGACTCGCAAGGCTCTTTCTTACGTGTATGCAAAAGAAAAATGTTTGGCGGAATAAAATCAATGTATTTTTCATGAAACCAAAAAAGTGAGGTACCCCATATTTAAGGTAGATTGAAAGAAACAGCGGTAATCTTTCTTAATCCGGAATACATAGCATTTCCGTGTTGGAATGATTTTTTTGTGTGATTTTGACAGAGCAAGTAGTTTTCAAATAGCAAATTGAGTACAGTACTTGCTGGACCATGAAGCACACCTGTATGTAAACCACACCAGATAAATGTGAAAATGAACTTTTTTTTTTTTTTCTATATACAGGCAACAGGTTTTGTGATTTAACCAACAGATAAAACTAACTGGACCACACATAATTTAATAATGGGGTGTTTTAACGCACTGCTGATACATGCACTCTGGTAAATCCAACCTATTTTGACAATAAACGTGTGTTCCATCTCTACTAAAACTACGAAATAATACACTACTAAAACTAAGAAATAAAACGTCCATAAACTCTGCTCTGACAATATCCCTACTCGCATAAAAAAAAAAAAAAAAATCCGTCCACTTCCCTGTATCAGCCCTGTCTACTGTTCACATAAACACAGCAGGAAGCAGGGCGGTAAAGGTACGTAATTCGTTCTGGAGATCAACAGCTGATAGAACTGTCTCCATCTGTTCCTGCACTCATGAAAAGCACTCTAACATAATACAAATAAATACAAATTCATGTACAAAAATAGCGATTTATAGTCCAGCAAGTACTGTAATGTGAACAGAGAAGATTGCTGCTGCTTCTTTCTTCTTCTCCCCATCGTTATTCCTAAAGCACACACCAAAGGCAGTCTATAGCCGCACAGATGTGACACAGAAATGGCACCGCTTTAGTCAAATCCAACATTACCCACGGTGCAACCAGGTTTGTTGCTCCCGAAAGTCTTTGAGTCGTTGATATTTAAAAATCAGGATCCAGTCTGCTCTTTCCCCTTCCTCCCTCTCACCAGTCTTGAGATTCAGTTTTACACAGTATTGGACTCTGGGCATACAGCATTTAGACAGAGTAGAATTATGCAACGGAACAAAGGAGGCAAAACAACAACAATAACAACAACAGTAACCAATTTATATGCAAAACAATTCATTTGTTTTAAAATTGTGACAGCATGTTGTTGTATCTTTTGTCATGACATGTTGATTTACCCTTTAGTGAAAGGTTTCATGTGGCTCCAAAATAAAAATAGAATTATAGACAAAGCTATATCAAAGAAAAGTCCTGAAATATCCACATTTTACAACCCCATTTATTATCTATTTTGGGAATTTGATAAATGCTAAAATGGCCTTAAATTGTTAATTCATTCATTTTGTAGTCGCCATAATTATAAATCATACTAGAAGCAAAATAATAAATAAAGCTATTAACAACATTTCAAGAAACAGTTTATCAAAGGACAGTCCCAGAGCCACTATGCCCGTCATACGCCCACGTTTTACAATTAGTTTCATTATTATATTAAACATAAGACTCCAAAATAAAATAAAAATGTGCCTGGTACAGCGTGATATATAGATCATCCCATTTGCATCAACAGGCAGTGAAACGCTTCTTTTCCATCTGCTTTTTTCACTTTCAATCAGGCTGAAATCTAAAGTGAAATTCATGGCACCTTTGACAACAGCACATTGTAAAACACACTTTCCCTACGCCGCCTTTGTAGACTTGCTCAAATGAATATTGCAAGTGTGTTCAGCAGAAATCCCACCTGAAGTAAAACTGACAGTGCATTAAGGTGTATTTTTGTGATTGAAAGTACCATTTCGGACACTGCAAATTTGTATTCTACTTCCTTATCCCGTCTCTTATTGAACCAATCATATTCTCCCATCCTCTTCACTTCCTCTTCCCCCCTCCTGTCTTTTTCAATAAATGAAATAATCACCTCAATCGTGTTTGTCAAGGGCAGACTTATTATGGGCAACCCGAAGCTGTCTCCGATTCACTTTGCAATGCTATGACCACAGAGACATCTAGTGGCCTTTGGAAGAACTCATCTACCAAAGCGCAGACTGATTTTATAATTCAATGTGTCAAAACGAAAGACTGCTGACGCACTTAAGATGTCTGCTTACAGAGGTGGCAAAGTATTTGTCTTAGGTACTTGCGCAAAATAGAAAAGTAAAAGCCTGTGAATGTACCCATGTTCAAAATCCAACAGTAACTTGCATTGCCTGAAACACAGACGGTTGTAGAAAGTTGAATTCTGGCAGGATATGACAGAACATATTGATCTTAGACACAAGGCTAACCACAATGAAGTGATTGACTTAGAAGCAGGGATAACCTATTCACACCTGGTTTTATGTTGTGGTGCTAATCTGCAACGTAGCTAATCGTTTTGAAAGATGAGTAGAAAGTGCAGATTTGGGTTGAAGAATAAAAGTAAAAGGTTTTCAGAAAATTAATTAGCACGGGAAAGTACTGATACCAAGAAAAACTGAATAATACTTAGTTACTTGCCACCTCTGTCTGCCTAAAAGCATGAATTCACAGTTGTAATTTAGCATTCCTGATGTGGCAAAAGAGAAGTCCTCCTCTACGCGATTCTCTCCTTCAAAAACAAAAAAATAAATCACATTTATTGCTCCATTTCTGATTAACATTGTCTCTCTAGAAAATATATATGAATATATCTATACGCCTGGATTACTACAGTGGTAACAAGGTAAGGACGTCACGATAGAAACGAGCAAATACGCACACGACACACAGAAGAAAAGCCCTGCCCTCAGCTGGGTGCCCAGTAGCTGACCCGCAGCATAGCCTGACCCAACCCCCACTCACCCCACACCCACACTGTTTGTCTGGTCCACGCACCCACAAAGAGAGAGAGAGGGGAAGGGGGCACCAGCGCGGTTCAATGCCGACGGCAAGGATCAGGGTCAGCTCCCCGCGCTAATGCCCAAGCTTGAGTTGAGTTGAGTGGGCCGTAGATACAGTGTGCTTGCCCAGTTTGGATCCAGCAGTCACATGGCACCTCCTCTTCTCGTCTTCATGTGAAACTAGACCGGCAGTTAGTGGAGAGCACAGCGGAGATAAGCTAGAAAGTAGAACCCAGTCTTTCTCTCCAGAAGCTCTGCAGTTTGTCCTGTGCAGTGGTCCATCCCTGGGTGAGGATGTCCTGAAGACATGCGTCTGACACACTAGTCATGGTGGCCTGCTAAAGCCTGTCCATTTTTTACTGGAATCCTCAGTATGTTAAGTTTATTATGTTTTGTCTTCGTTATATTTAATATATTATACTCTAAAGATGGTTTTAAACACTTGTATGTTTTTTTGTTTTCATTCATCTTTTCTTCTGTTTTTCTTATCCCTACATGGTTAATTTTGTGTATCTCTCTGCAGTTGCACCTGACCACCAGCTAACAAACATCTTTACTGCCTGCATGTTTTTCATCACAAGATGCGAGGTGCCGAGCGGTCGTTAGACACAGTCTTGCGGAGGCGGACTCCTCTCCTGATAGTGGTCAGCATGTCCCCATTGCCCTCTGCTCCCTCTGTCCCTGTCTGAGCCTCACCGGAGCCGGATGGTGGTGTGGCTGGATCATCAGGGAGGGTGGGGAAAGGAAACTGGCCTTCTCCAAGGGCATGTGCACTGGCAACTAGCTCGCCGATCTTCTCCACCAGACTGTGTCGATTGGCAGCGATCATTTGCTCCTCGTCTAATCCTGATGCTGTGCCCATAGCCAGGCCGTGTTGCTGGGCATAGACCTCTAAAGCGGCCCCTGATCCCCAGGCAGTGTTGGGCAAGCTGAGGCGCTTGGGTGATGCCTTTACATAATCCAGCACTCCTTGTGAGTCCTCCATTCCAGCAAAGAACACACACTCCTCACTCCCCGTGCGCACAGGGGCTCCGGTGTGACCAGCACCGGCCCCGGGTGAGTGCGAGTCCCCTGGGACAGTGGGCGTCTTCACAGGCACAATGGGTGGTCGGATGGGGATGGGCCCAGCGCTGGACAGTGTGCGTCTCACACCAGGTTTAGTGGAGGGAGTCCGGCGGATGGTGGCTGTGCCAGGAGTTCCAGCTCCTCCTCCACCAGCTCCACCAGGCTGCCCTGGTATCCCATGAACCCCAGGGCCCAGCACTCCACTGGGCAGTCCGGCAGTGCTTGCAGGCCTCTTGGTCTGGATCATTCGCCGATAGTTCTGGGCAATGTTGGAATGGCGTGGAATTGTAGAGGACTTGTCAAAGTCTGTCTGTCCATCTGTACCCTCAGTATCTCCATTCACAGAGTAGCAGTCGTAATCTGAGCCTAGGATCAAAGGAAACATAAGAACAAAGCTTCACATGCAGCTGACTCAGTCAACTCTGAGACATGACAAGACTGCAGGACGAGACAACCTGCACATTCATCATTTGGGTTGTACTACATTTAACATGACCTTGAAAGACAGGTAATAACAATCATTCAGGTTAATCCAAGGCGTTACCTTGTGAGGGGATGGTGTCTTCAGAGCAGGACGGGGTGGTGGTGGTGGTCTCAGTGCTGTATCCACTGGAGTACTGCAGAGAGTCCCTGTTGCTCTTCTGCTCCATGCTGAGACCTCTGGTCAGCACCATTGCCAGGTCACTGGCAGCAGGTGAAACCTCATCCCCATGCTGCAAAAACCCAATCAAAAAGTCGTTGTTAACAGTATTTTCTATAGCAATATGTTTAAACGAAAATGTGATAAAGGTGTAGTGAAAACCCTGATTAATATTAAGCAATTATACTGATAGTTAATGAATGCATAGGCCCATATTCTGCGGGCTAGAAATAACATCATAAAACTGAATGAATTACATGAAAACAATGCAGCGTTTGTTTTTCATATCACACATTTTAATGAACTGTTTACTCATTCCACAATTAACAGCTCCAGTGCTTTAAAATGTGTTCCTTTTGGGATTAATAAACTTTGAGAACTTCATACAAGAACAAGTTCACAATGAAACTGAAAGTGTTAATGCTGATCCCTGCAACACATTTCCACCAGCTTTTAATGTGTGACACCATGAGGTTTGAAACTAGGAGCGATGCAGTTTCAATATTCTGCTTTAACCTGATAAACAAGGAAGGAAGTGACAGCAACAAAAATAGCTAATAAAAACATCAGCTCAGGCGTCAACTATTGCAAAACTACGAACGTACCCCAAACTTGTTATTGTAAGTAACAGGAAGTCATAAAGAAGGAATTTGCTTCGGCTCAAGGTGAAAACAAGTTATAAGAGTAAAAATAGATAAAAGGCAGGCATAGTAAATTTTCATGACATTTCTTAAAATCACTACTAAACACAAACGCACACAATAGACATTTAGCAGTTGGGTCCAAGGACGATGATCCAGGACCCTCGACATCAGTGCCCTATGGACTTTGTGTGTTTTTCATTCTTGCATTTATTGTGTCTGATTCTGTTTTGTAAAGTGCTCAGAGATAACTGCTGTTGGTAGTTTAGGCTCTACAACACGCTGCTGAACATCCAGGGGGAGGACATTGAGCTGGTGGACAGCTTCAAGTATCTGGGTGTTCACATTAACAATAAACTGGACTGGTCCCATAATACAAACGCCCTGCACAAGAAGGGCCAAAGTCGCCTCTTCCTTCTGAGGAGGCTGAGGTCCTTCGGAGTGAGCAGGCTGAGGCTCAGGACTTTTTATGACTCTGTGGTAGCTTCTGCCATCCACTACGCTGCCGTGTGCTGGGCCCCGGGCAGCACAGAGCGGGACAGAAACAGACGGAACAAGCTGGTCAGGAGGGCCAGCTCCACTCTGGGCTGCTCCCTGGACTCTGTGGAGGAGGTGAGGGACAGGAGGGTGCTAGCCAAAGCCACCTCCATCATGAACAATACCTCCCACTGCACAGGACTGTAGAGGAGCTGAGGAGCTCCTTCAGTGGAAGACTGAGACACCCTCAGTGTAGGAAGCAGCGCTACCGCAGGGCCTTTATCCCCACCGCTGTCAGACTGTACAATAAGTCACTTTAAATGATCACTGTGTGAAAACCTGCACTACTATTGACACTGTTTCCAATTGACACTTGTCACTTTTGTTGTACATAATTATTGTCACTTTTATTGTACATATATCCTGCATGTAACATGTTTGCACATTTCCTCCTTTTGCACAATCTGAGTGTCTCTATCCATGCCAAATGTGACATGTTCATTTCTCCTCTGTGAGATAAATAAAGCACATATCTTATCTTATCTTGATAAAAATAGCTTCATGCCTGAACTGGCCTTGTCAAAGACTTAAAGCCAACTTTTGTTTGTTATGCTAACTTGATTGAATAGTTGACCAGAACTAAAAAACCTGCACTACTATTGCCACTGTTTCTATAATTGCCACTTTTTATTGTACATAATATATTCTGCATTTAAAGTGTTTGCTCATTTCTTTCTTTTGCACAAATCTTAATTGATCTCACACAGGAGAAATGTACATGTCACATCTGGCATGGATAGAATCACTCAAGTCTATCTTATCTTATCTTATCTAAAAAAAATTCTAACCTAAACTCTGAACCATACATTTTGGTATAAGGTTTAGTAATTGCGATTGGTCAGAGGCGCTGTCAATCACTCTTTAGCTGGTGCATCAGTTGAGTTTGAGAAGAATGTTGTTTATCTTCAATCAAATGCTGAAGTATCTGGTCTCATACGGTAAACATCGAAGCATTTACAGCATTCACAGATAGCTAAGTAATACAGCTACTACTTTATTTTTTATATTTTGTGTGCTCCCTGCGTGCTCTTACTACTGTCCTGTCTGTGTGCTGCAACATCAAAATTTCCCCACTGTGGGACGAATAAAGGAACTCTTATCTTAAACGTGCGTCTGTGTGGTTCGGAAATCTAAAAACAGCTAAAACAGTGTGCTGCTGATCTAGAATCCCACATCCCAGGTGTTAACGCAGGGGCGATGGAAAGGCTTTCAAACTGAATTGAGTAGAGGATTTAGTAGAGTAGAGTAGAGGATTTATTTTGGGCGGCACGGTGGCTGAGTGGATAGCACTCTCGCCTCTCAGCAAGAAGGTCCTGGGTTCGAATCCCGGTCGGACCAGGGCCTTTCTGAGTGGAGTTTGCATGTTCTCCCCGTGTCTGCGTAGGTTTCCTCCGGGTACTCCGGTTTCCCCTACCTCTAAAAATATGTCCAATAGTTCTGGCATGTGCCTCCTGTACTGGCGACCCCGCTCCCATCTCTGTGTGGAGTGAGAGACAAATGCCCATAATTAACAATTGTAAACCGCTTTGAGACTCAGATCTGCAGTGAAAAGGCGGTATATAAATAAAAACTTACTTACTTACTTACTTACTAGAGGAGAGTTGAGTAGAGCCAGTGGAAATGGAGCTAAAGATAATCTCATAAAAAGAATGGCTTGGAAATAAAGTACATATAGATACTGAAAAAGTTAAGTGGGTAATTACACCTCCGAAACTAAAAGCCGTTCAATTGACTGATCTGCAAATTCTAGTGTCAAATCAATTCAATGTATTTTCAAGGTATATTCTTGTATAGTCCTAAATCACAACAGTAGTTCTCTCGGAGGACCCAACACAGATCAGAGAATCAAACAGTTCAAACACAAGCCATTGGTCCATAAATGTCCATAAATGTCCATAAATGTCCATAGATACACAGTGTTAACAACCGCTTATATCCAGTCTCACCTTCCCAGCCATAGCAGCCGCACCCATCCTGCCCCTCTGCATGTCCTCAGCGTGCGAAGGCCCAGCGTAGCCCTGTGCACTGGGCGACCCCTCACTCTCCCTCAGCCGGTCCAGGGGCTCCTTCCTCCGCTGGACCCCTGCTGCTGCTGCTGCCGCCACCGGTTGCTGTTCGTACTGACCTGCTTTGGACCAGTCCTGGGAAGGTCAGAGAATTAGTCATACCGCCAAACATAAGAGAGGGATCAGCACAGACTTGTCCGCCATCCAGCAGTTTTGAGCCCTTGATCTGGGTGCAGAGAGGGGGGCTTTGGTGGTGGATTTGAGGCTTGAGCAAGTGTCCGTCTGTGAGTGGGTGTACGTGGGCTGAGGACTCCTTTTTTTTTTGTTATTCAATCAATGTTTTCTTTGTTTTAATGGAAAAGGGAGTGAGGGAAAGCCAAATAAAAAGCAAGCACACACAACACACTGCACACAGCGGATTGGCGTGGACATAAGCAATGGCATGATGTGGTTATGGTAGTAGAGTATTAAAGAAAAGGAAATAAAAGTTGTGACGCAGTGGTGGGAAGTAACCGAGCACAAAGGTAAAAGCAAAGAAAGTATATATTTCTGTGCTTATTATGTGCATAAATTATAAACATATAATGTATAATAATTATATGTTTTTACTTTTCATATAATTCAAGTTTTTCAGACCAAAATGGCACTGTGAATGCATTTTATCATGCCAATAATAATCATAATTATCACAATAATCATAATAATCAAAGTTATCATATAATATTGTATACGTTTTATATACAACAACCCATCTGGACACTCATAGATGCCTCATATGGCAATTTTTCACTTTATGCAAGTTTTTCCAATGCTTTTTGAGGTAGCCATAGCTGCCCTAGAGCAGACTGACAATATACGACTTTCAAAGGCCCCTCCGACTACCACCAATCATTCACGCACACACTAGACTCATTCTAGGCAATGTGGGTAAAGTGTCTTGCTTAACGACACAACAGTAGACTATACACGCCCTTTCATAAGAAGTTTTAAGTTTATTTTTTTACTTTGACTTTTAAATGTGTTTTAAACATGGATTACATTTTGTCTCCTCAATTCATTTCTAAATTATATATTCATTTTTATCTTCATTTTCATCTTCAGAGCCGAGTACTTTTCCCACCACTGTCACAATGAAGAATGTCGCAACCGAAGAGAAAAGGTGCAACTGAGGAGATGTGGCAGCTTATGGGGAAAAACAAACCTTCCACATAGGAACCTTTGATGTGGGAGAGGAGGAGCTGGATCCAGGGGGGCGGATATAGGGTGGGGACACAGGAACAGGAAGAATGACAGAGATAGGTCTGGAGGGGCCTGAGTGAGAGAGAGCAGGGCGGAAGGTAGCGAAGGACGAACCAAACTGCGGGACGAGAGACAGTCACAGCATCAGAGAGAAAAGGACACTGAGGAGCCATGGACGGCACCGAGAGACCAGTCCACGTCACACACCGTTCAGAATATTAGCATTACTCCTATTCTTGGGTTCCGAATGACGTCAGGGCAGTGGCGCGAATAACAAACGTGGGACAGGACGTGATGTAACCTGGCGGTGCAGTCTGCCGGGTTTATACACAGAGATATAGTAGAAGAAGAAGCGCTGTCAAAATGCCATCTTTTTTAATAGAGAGAAAGACAAGAGTTTCTTTCGTGTTCCAATATAAAGGAGAACAGCGCCCCCTGCAGGCCATCCGAATGACACGCAGCAATTTCTTCTGTTTTTCCAAAAATGCCCGAAATTAAGACTTCTTTTGAGAAATATTTTTTAGTAAACCCTTAGAATTGAGGTTCCCTGATTAAGACTCTAACAACAACCGTACACCGCACAGGAGGAGAGGCTTTTGACTCCAAAAAACCGACACGATTTAGATGGTTTTCAATGGGAGCAACACTGAGTCGTCCCATCTCTGCTCATGCGCCCCCTACTGGCCAGTTTAATGAAACCCAAGAATACCCCTCCCATCCTTGTTGCATTATATCTGCATGAGAGCATTGTGTATGATTTTTTAGTTTTTTTTACTGCATTTTATACATCAATACAATATGATGTATTTGTATATGCACTATTTTTATGTTTTATTGTGTGTCTTCTGAATTTCTTGTGAAGCACTTTGGGTTACACTGTATGAATTGTGCTTTTTTTTTTTAAATAAAATTGATTTGATTTGCTTGATACCAACAGGAAGGTCATCTGGATCCAGGTCTAGATTCAAGATAATAATTCACTGTAAATATTTCTCCATTGTGAGATCAGTAATGTCTATCTGATCTGATCTTTAATAACCTGCAAAGTAGTCAAAATGTGTTAAAATTAAGATACGTTTTGCCAAATTTGAGCAACTTTTGACTACATTTTCTTTTTTGGCAGTGTTCTTGTCCAGCTCTTGTTGTGTTTGGAAGTGCCTGGATTGTTTTGCAGCTTTTTGAGGCGTCCCTTATTGTTTCAAGAGAACCCCATAAAGATTGAAACACCCGCAGAAAACAGCCACATATTAGGACATCGCTAATTAGCCTTGGCTATAAATGTTGTAGTTTTTCACAGGTTGATTGTGTGCACTTGTCCCTATCAAAAAAATCAATACATTAAAAAAATAGTAGACCTGTGAATACGTTTTTAAAATATTCTTAAAGTTTATGTAAATGTGGTTCATAGTGAATCCTTTTTTTTCCTCACAGCATATTTGAGTGTTTAGAAAAAGCTGCCTGTGTAGGATGGGAGGAGGCAGGTATTATGTTTTTAAGTTTAGAAAAATAAAACAATCCTAATTGAAAACCTCACAACAAATCAAAAAATCTAGTAAAAAAATAAAATAAAACGCATTTAATGTATGAAGATAATCAAGAACAATATTCTGAATTGAAAGTGTGTGATCTCCAGACTTTGCGGTGCACAGAACTGAATGAAACCAGGACGTTCAAAGAATGAGATGAGGTCTAAGTCTAAGCGTTAATATAATACGTTAAAATAAGTGGAATTGGAATAAAGTCACTACAATATTAGCACTACTTTATAAATTCTACAGCCTTCTCGATGAGTCGGTGTCTACAGGCCACGGCAGGTTAATATCCCCCCACTCATGCATAACATTCCACAAGTTCTCCTCATTTAGGATTCTGTTGGACCACACATCTCTATTGATTAAACCTGTCCTATCAAAGCACTTTTAGCAAATGGAGGATTGTAATTACAGATTGGAGTCCGCGGCATGTCTGATCATTCTTGTTATTTAAATGAGAGGTGGGACGGTGCATTCAGATGGTGGCGGTGAACACAGGCGAATATGAAACCTGCGGAGCATGACGGATGCTTCTGGAAAAAAAACACGCAAATGTTGACTCTGGCCCAGCCACGGTCACAATGGAAAACCACACTTTTTATTTTTCCTGAGATGTGATTTTAAAGAAAATAGGGAGCGGAAGACAAGGTTCCACATGAATGAAAATGCAACAATGCGGTTTTCTTATCCACACCAATTAAATGTGGTGGTCGGGGGGGGACAGCGCAAGTTTGTTGTGCCAGAAGACATTTTTTGACCCCTAAAATGAGATTTGTCACCAATTTCGTAAGACTATTGAATGTTAAAGTGGCAATATGTAAGATTTTCATGTCCACTCATCCTTTAAGGGGCCTAATCTGTCAAAAGGCATTAATAAACTTTTCTTTTTGAACACTTCTTTAACTGATAACAGTAGTTCAGAGATATCTGCATTTCAAAATTGGATTTACAGCCCCTAAATCTTTTTATTGTTTTCATTTTGATGCCGGGGTTGCCAAAACTCACTGCAACAAGCAAATCTCACTGCTAAAGTAAAATGTGGCGCAGAACGAAAAAAAGGTCTCGTTATGATTCTCAAATCATTAATGACAAAACAAGAACTAAAACCAGGATTGATATCTTTGTGAAAAAGGTGTTGGTTATAGATTTGCTGTTGACAAAACTCTGATTCAGATATTATGGTCCCAGCTGGATTCGTCTGCATATCTGGCAACCTGAGTCGGGCAGAGTGGGAGAGGACTGCAGAATATTGGGGGTGATTGCAGTACCACTTTGCATATAGATTTATATAAAATGCTTTTTGAATAACACAACGTCAAGGTTTTTAATAATTACTAGCAGCTTGCATAGTTGGTGAATAAAAGTACAGTTGTGGGCGAATTGCAATGACTTTTAATCAGCCCGAGGAGATGAGGCTATAGCACCAACAACACCTTCGTTTACAATCATTTCTTAAAACCCACTGTTTGTTTTAAACTGTATTTTACTTTTCCATCTTGACTTTTTTTGTCTTTCTTGTTGTCTGTCTGCTTTATTCTCCTGTATTTCTCTTTTGGGCGGCACGGTGGCTGAGTGGATAGCACTCTCGCCTCTCAGCAAGAAGGTCCTGGGTTCGAATCCCGGCCGGACCAGGGCCTTTCTGAGTGGAGTTTGCATGTTCTCCCCGTGTCTGCGTAGGTTTCCTCCGGGTACTCCGGTTTCCCCTACCACTAAAAACATGCACAATAGGTCTGGCATGTGCCTCCTGTACTGGCGACCCCGCTCCCATCTCTGTGTGGAGTGAGAGACAAATGCCCAAAAAATAATAACAATTGTAAACCGCTTTGTGACTCTGGTCTGTGAAAGGCGGTATATAAATAAAGATTACTTACTTACTTACTTACTTACTTTTGCTTCATGCTGAATGTGTATTTTTAGTTCTTTTTAACCTGCTTTATATATTATATAATATATATATATATATTATATATATATATATATATATATATATATATATATATATCAATAAAAACAGCCTGGTTTGAAAAGGGGTTGAAGGAAGCAAATACTTGTGCACTTACATATAGTGCAAACTGTTTTCGTTGATAGATTTCACAGTGACAATTGTTTCCTGTTTGTTTTAACCTTGTTGTTTGTATGCACTTGTCTGGTGCACACTGGAGACTTTTGCACATTTTTTATTTATTTATTTATTTATTTGATCGGGACAACACACATTAATGAACAATCATATACAGTTGTACACAGATTGTAAATGTGCCAGATTATAGCAAAACTGCTAATTTACATCTGTAGTCCCGAGGCAGGTCACACAAGTAAAACAATGTATGAACAAAACATACATACAAAACACAATATAAAAACTTTATAAATCACATTTTAGTTAAAATGAGTGCATGACTGATTTACTTTGATGTGATGTTTAATGTCTGTAGGAAGGCTGTTCCAAGACTGGCCTCCTCTGACGGACAGCACAGTTTGTCCAAATGTTGTTTTTCTCTGTGTGGGATCTCCACATCTCCTCTGGAGGAGGCTCTGGTGCGGAGACCCCTCATTGCTTTAAGTTTAATGTAGTCACATAGTGGGGGCGGGGCAAGACCATGAAGTGCTTTGTAAAACAAGGAACATTTGAATTTTTAAAAATTTAGCATTTTATTATTTTTCCAGTTTTGCAGTTGATATGACCAAGGCTTTAGATAAATTTAACTTTAAGAGGATTGTATTTTGTTTCTCCGTGACCAGTAAGTGACAGTGAGTTAATGTGTTTTTTAAAGGAGAGTGTTGAATCCAGTGTGACCAGAGTGACCCGAGATATTTGAACTCCTCAACAAAGTCAAGCTCAGTGTCTCCAAGGAACACATTGGACCGATCAAGTTTAATAGATTTTTTTGAGAATATCATTGACACGGTTTTCTTTTTATTTAATAGTAAGGATGAGTTGTTGAGCCACTGCTGTATGTCTGTCAGAGCTGCAGTGAGGGTAGATGATGCCTCCTCAGTTGTTTTAGCAGGAGTAAAAATTACAGCATCATCTGCATACATTTGAAAGTGGACATTTTGACAAACATTTGTATTCCAATGTGGTTTTACTGCAATTGGCAAAAAACCTTGGCCTCTAGACCAGGTGCCGCCAACTTATTATACCCAGAGAGCTACTTTCCCGGGACGATAAAGGCAGAGAGCTACTCCTTTAAGCAGACCTCATCATCACATTTCTGTTACTAGTGTACAAAGTAAGAGCATTTACAATAATAAATAGTTTTAATGAATAATACAATCTGAAATATTAAGTATATTATTTGATTTTTTTTATTTCTAAATCCTTTGGCGAGCTACCCAGAAGGGGGTGGCGAGCTACTAGTGGCTCCCAAGCTACAGGTTGGAGACGGCTGCTCTAGACGCAGAGAATAGTGCAGACGTTTGGACACAGCCCTCGTCCGTTTTCAAGGAATGAAAATGTTGTAACATCGTCAAATGCTCACACAATCATTTAATAAAATATCCTCTTTCAAGCATATAACTGAATGTGCGTGTGTGTGTGTGTGTGTGTGTGTGTGTGTGTGTGTGCATGTGTGTACTCTTTCATATAGATTCCCACAAATAATGAATTTCTATTGCGTTAGATGAAAAGCAATTTCAATGTGTCCTTGACCTGTGGGTAAGATTGACTCTTAATGACATTCTGCACTCTGTATTAGTTTAGTTATTATATTAAGAATCCAACAGTCTTTTTAAATGTGTTACGTCTCTGATAGCAAAAGCCCTTTCTGCTCAGACATGCTTTGTCAGGTGCACTCCAAAGTTTTTGTCCAACTTCAAGCGGATTTTTGAATAACCCGTCACGGCTTTCTCCTTGAATACAAAGTTTATAATAATTACCAGCGGCGGCGGCGGCTTGCAGAGTTGGCGACTAAATGTACTTACAGTGGTGGGCGAGCTGCATTCACTGACAGACTGGCACGTCTCGGAGGCCTCTGAGGAAGCCGAGCTGGAGGATTTCTGAGCACAAAGAGAAACCACAGCCTTGAGTCAATGCAACTACTTCAGAAAGAATGAGCTGATGCATTCTGGGGCCTGCGTGCACGAAGGGCGAGAGAGACATCTTGGTCCTAACTGAATCTCTGCACGGAAGATGAAATTAAAACTCAGAACGTCCATGGATGGCATTGACTGCAGATTTAGACATACTGATGTTGAACTTTTAAAGGGAAGTAATTATGTTGTAAAATGTGTCTGATTTTTTTTTTGTGTGAAGTGGATGTGTGGGTATCTTTATAGCAGGGGTGTCAAACCTATTTTGGTTGAGGGCCGAATAAAAAATGAAAGGGCTGCTCAGGGGCCGAAAGAATAAGTGGGTTTTATTCATTAAATGTTTCTGGAAAATGAAGGTATCTATATAAATGACTTGTTTCACATAAGTTGGATTGGGTATTCTTTTCTGATTAGAATTAGTTCAGTTCCTGTGGACTGAACCAAAACTGGAACAAATATTGAAGGTATACAGGAAGATGTTCTACTTCTGTGTGGATCATCGAGACTATTGGTCCTCCCGACTGTCAATCATTCTGGTGATTTGTGCTCGTCCAATAAGACCAGAGAGTTTTGTTCAAAAAGTGGAGAGGGCGGTTCTTTCCTAAGAAAATGGGGAAATCCTCTTAAGAAATGTAATTGAAGACTCTTAAACAGCATGATAAAAATAAAACATAATAATACTTACTAATACTAATGACATGTTGGTTTAACATTTCTTATGAAATAAAACGATATGGTTGTTTTCTTACTAATGGAAAACATGCCATTGTCGCCTATTACCATTAATGCTGCTATTTAATATAATTCAAAATCTCAAGGGCCAATGGAAATGGTCTCATGGGCCGGATCTGGCCCCCGGGCCTTGACTTCGACACCTGTGCTTTATAGCTTCAGAGGCAGAGAGCGCCAGGGTTCATCCTTTTTTATGGTATATTGTATCTCCAAGTGACATTCTGACAATTAGAATATTTTTCAAAAGTTTATCCATTTCTGTAATTTCCCTATCAAGCTGGATTTTTGTTAATAAAATGAAATATACTGTTTAGGGCGGCACGGTGGCTGAGTGGATAGCACTCTCGCCTCTCAGCAAGAAGGTCCTGGGTTCGAATCCCGGTCGGACCAGGGCCTTTCTGAGTGGAGTTTGCATGTTCTCCCTGTGTCTGCGTAGGTTTCCTCCGGGTACTCCGGTTTCCCCTACCACTAAAAATATGTACAATAGTTCTGGCATGCGCCTCCTGTACTGGCCCCTCCCATCTCTGTCTGGAGTGAGAGACAAATGCCCAAAAATTAACAATTGTAAACCGCTTTGAGACTCAGATCTGCAGTGAAAAGGCGGTATATAAATAAAAACTTACTTACTTACTTTATTTGTAGAACTGAATACTGTTTAAACAACCAAACAACTATATACTAACAACAACAAAAACAATACCTCTCTCTGCTTGTAATCAGTCTGTTATACGTTAGTTTCAGATTGTAAATTGAATAATCTCGGAAATATTTAGATACAAATAAATACACATTTCAGTTGATATATAACTTTAACGCTCAAAACATTATCGGATTGTTTTGTGTTGCTCTTATTCCTCTTTGTCATCATTACTGTTTCTGTCATTGGGCCTGTGTATGTGTTTTATGTGTTTTTGAAAATAATAATAAAAAGCACATTTGTGTATTTAAGGCCTGGATTCTCACCAGATCCAGGACATTCAACAACATTTATAGACATCTATCAACATGAATGAACATTGGTTATCCGCCTCTTATGGACCAATGGCTCTTGTGTTTGAACTGTTTGATTCTCTGATCTGTGTTGGCAAATCGATAGCTTTATAAAGACCTCTGAGATAACGTCTGTTGTGATTCAGGGCAATACAAAAATAAATTGAATACTATTTTTATGATTACCTTGGGCCTGTGAGTGTGTTTGAATGTGTGTTTTTTAATATTATAATAAAGCACATATCTGTATTTTCATATGCTGCTCAAATATATTTCTATCCATTTGTCTATGCGTTTCCTTTGGTTCTCACACCTCCTCCCCTGCTCCATGCCCCCCCCCCCCCCCCCTCCCCCCTCCCCCCTCCCCTCACCAGTCAGACTCCCCTGGTACCTGGCTGGTGATGTCTGAGGGCATGGGCGAGGGCGGCTTGGAATAGATGTTTGCGTCCTGCGACACGAAGCCCGAGTCGTGTGAAGAGACGCTGCTGAGACGGTGAGCTGCGAGGCCCCCCGGTGGATGAGGATGCTGTGGCAGGCTGCTGCGATACCGGACCGAAGAGGAGGAGGAGGAAGAGGTGGGTGAGTGAGGCAGAGACCCCCCAGCAATACTGCCCCCTCCTGACGAACGGGAGGCACTGCTGTGGGCACTGTTGACGCTGCTGTGATGGGGCAGGTCCAAATACATTGACCGGTGGAGGAGAACCCGGAGAAAGAGGGCAGCGGATGGGACGGAGGATGGATGAGAGGGAAAAGAGGGAGAGAAGAGGGGAGATTATGAGAATAATCATTATGTTAATATGCATCGACAGTGCAAATGCAAGTGAATGTGTGACATGTCAGGCCAATATTCTCTCTCCAAATATGGAATGTAGACAAACGATAATGCACATTTTGATCCTGATGTTTTTTTTTTTTTAAACATATGGAGGCAAATGCACCAGGGGCCACTGTGAGATCTCATGTATAGTAGATTACTTAAAAATGACTAAATTACTAAAATTAGCTGACTCCTCTATGACGAAGAACGGTTTCACTTTGAGCCAGAACTAAAAACAAACTAATATAACATTGGACAATACATTTGGTCATATACTGAAATATACAGTAGACTCGCAGAAATGACAGTTAATACCTTAAAATATGAGCAAAACACTCTTGTATGGGCTCTATGCACGCTCCACTTCCGCGTATCAATCTAATTACTAAAAAACGTCACTACAGCTCACCACAATGTCATAGCGCTAACACAGACAGGAAGTAAAAGAACTGTTCCTTATTGAAATGAAATGACGTCACGCCTCCCGTGCATATGGCTTTTTGAGTGTATTTTGATGTCTTACTTATAAAGAAACATGAAAACGATTATACAGCAATGTAGACATCTTTTAAGTTAACTTATACATTCTATAAGTTGATTATTTTGTCAGATACAAGTTACTTTTTTGCGTCTGACAGTTTAGACGGCTGCAGCTGTTCTACATAGTTTTTGGTGCTGTAGTCCAAACACCAGAGGCAGGACGACAGCGCCACCTGCAGTCCGACTTCCTCAGGACAGAATTCAATGTGGGATGGTGCTTTCATGGTGCTTTCCGACCGGATCATGCGTTGCGTCTGCTTTCAATGCAAAGTCAATGGTGACGCACGTTTGAGCGTCAAAACGCACGCACGGCTCAGTAGAGATGCACGGACTTGGCGGGAAAGTCAAAGGGGAGGAGCAGGAGCGGAAAATGGACGCCCACAGGAGATACATTTTGCTCAACCTTTCCTTGGGACGTTGGTGCAGCGACCAATCAGAGAGCCGCAAAGTGGTCACGGGGACATTGGTGGTCTGAGCGAGCAGACTGAAAATACTGTAAACAGCCAAAACAGGACCCACACCAGACTTCACCAGAACTCAAACCAGGGTTAACAATGGGGGACTGTGTGCTTGTGAAAATATGTGTTGTCATGCTCCCGTGCCCTTATGCAACTGCTTCGAGTGTGTTCGCCGATGCGGAAATACCGTTTAATAATACAAAAAAGGTATGGCGCACCTCCGTGAACACATACTACTGTTGTATAAAGCCTGTGGAATGTATGTGAGCAAAGACACGCTGCAAAGCTGCATATTGGAGAAGATCTGTACACAAGAAGCCGCTAGCTAAACGGCATCAGAGCCAACCGGCTACTTCCGCCACTTCCGGCGCTGGTCAGGACGTTCTGGTGGGAACACGCCTGCGTCTGAAAACTAGAGAATGCGCGTCTGGTGAGCGTTTGAGCGTTTGCGGTCTGAAAGCACCATACAGAATAAAAAAAATATATGTTAAAAAAATGTAAAAGGCCCCCTCGTCCTGGTTTATAGTCCTGTGGGGAATCTTTCTGCATTTCTATTGTGTTTTAGATCCAGCGAGACCACTGAGAGGAAGACCAGCCCAGCAGTCAAAAGGTAAGAATCAACATGTAGAATCTATCAGAAGACTAAAATCATCCTCTTTGGGCCATAATTCTCTCACAGTTTGTGTATCGTCAACACAGTGACTGACAACTTCTGCCGACACAACTCGACAGCTCCATATTTAGAGAGCGCAGCTTTTGGGTTCAGTATTAATATCCGCAGAGTCTGTCTGTGGTTTCAGATAAGTGAGTGTGACAGACGGCGATGGGCGGAGGAGAGACACACACACACAAAAGACCCATGATCAAACACAGAAGACAAGCTCCTCTTTCTGACGGCACCTGAACGCACCACCACCACCTCCTGATGCTGTTTACTGACCATGTTTCCCACCACACTGTATTCATCAAAGCTTCTCTGTAGTTACTTGAACATTACACAAAACACTATTATAACACAACGTTTTATCAGCAAATCAAAAGGGAAAATAAAAGTGGATTGATGGTATAAATATAGACTTTGTATTTTTATTTATACTATTACTTACTTTACAGATATGAAATCATTAGTGCCAACGAGGGGGAAGCAAGCTAATATATGTGCCTGAATTTAGAAATACTTTCTAAAACGTGGTCAAATTTGATTCAGTTATAACAAATCAATTAGATAGTAATGATTAAAGGGAGAGAGGTGTAGGGCCAGAGAGTGTTGTGGGCCCGCCTTGTGTGTTTGTATGTGTGTGTGTTTGAGTGTGTGTGTGTGTTGTATGTAGCTTTCTAGCTCTGTCTCTTAGTGTGTATTTTAGTGTACATACCTGAAAAATTGATACTACTACAATTATTATTATAACAACTACTACTAAAGTACCTAAGAATATTGGGCCTCATTCACGAACGGTTCTTAGGAACAGATTTGTACGTAAATCCTACTTACGCGGTTTTTACGAAGAAAGTGGCATTCACGAATATTTCTCGTAACCAGAATTTCTCTTGGGCAAGTACAAATCCTACGAGTCCTCAGGAGCACTCGTACGCATTCAGTGCCGACATGTTCACACGCCGGGGTTGTCCTCTTTGGTAAAATTTAATAAAAATACAACATTCCAGTGATATGTCTGTCATATCGATGTATGTATTTATTTATTTGTAGTAATCTTTATTAGTAATCTTTATTTATATACCGCCTTTTTCACTGCAGATCTGGCCTACTTTTTAATTCATTTTGAAATGAAATGTGCCAACGCTTTATCAAATACATTGGAAATCTTGCCGTGTATTAGTGACCCCTTCCTATTTATAGGGGGCATTTCTTTATCCACGGGCCACAGAACAACGGCATATATACTGCTGCTCCAGGAGGTTACTGGGTCCGCGCTGAGTCTCTGCGCTGGTCTCTCCTATGGATCTATACGGGTCTGCACTGGTCTCTCCCATATACGGGTCTGCACTGGTCTCTCCCATGGATCTATACTGGTCTGCACTGGTCTCTCCCATGGATCTAGACGGGTCTGCACTGGTCTCTCCCATATACGGGTCTGCACTGGTCTCTCCCATGGATCTAGACGGGTCTGCACTGGTCTCTCCCATGGATCTAGACGGGTCTGCACTGGTCTCTCCCATGGATCTATACTGGTCTGCACTGGTCTCTCCCATATACGGGTCTGCACTGGTCTCTCTCCATACGGGTCCGTGCTGCATGCTCCTGGATCCATACGGGTCCGCGCTGGTCTCTCAAGTCTGGTCTATGCGGTCTATCTTCGGTCCGCGCTGGTCTCTGCGCACCGGTCTCTCCAGTCATGTCTCTCAGTCTATGCGGTCTCTCCTATAGGTCCGCGCTGGTTTCTGTGTGCTGGTCACTCCAGTCTCTCCTCGGGTCTGCATTGGTCTCAGCGCTGGTCCGCGCTGGATCTCCTCCCAGGGTCCAAAATATTTTGAGATTAATCTCAAAACATTTTGAGATTCATCTTTAAAATAATACATAATATATTTTTAAATTAAGCTCATAACATTTTGAGATTAATCTCATCATATTCTTAGATTAATCTCATAATTTTGCTAGTTCGACTTTATTATCATAATATTTCGACTTTTAAGTCAACATTTTATAACTTTATCCTCAGTCTGGTAAAAGAAGAAAAAAGGGTGACTCTTTTGCTCCGTGTAACTCTTTGCTTTAGGCCTGTTGCTGTTTCCTCTGGCGTCTGCACACGGCCCTGCAGTCCCTTATATGGGCATTAGTGGGCGGTTACTTATGCTAAGTACCTATGCTAATGAAGCACCTGGCACGCGCGCTGTACTTACGAGGAAATGGGATTCATCAATCTGAGAGAACAGCTGCGAACAATTCAGCGGCTTACGAGTGCGTTGATGAATCCCACGTGGGGACTTCTTAGAAATCTACTTAAGGACAACTTGAGAAGAAAGTTGAGTAGTTTCTTACGAAGTTATTCGTGAATGAGGCCCATTGTTTGGACCATGCGTACCTGCACATACTGCTCTTGCGAGTAAAATAATAAAATAAAAAGAAGCACAGGGAGAGAGGTGTAGGGCCTGACAGTGTTTGGGCCAGTGTCATATATGTGCGTGTGTGTGTGTGTGTGTTATGTTTAATGAGTGAGAGGGCTTTCAAGCTCTGTCTTTTAGTGTGTCTTTTTGTGAACTTTGGATATTTCATGACACTTTGAAGCAACTGTGTTTAAAGCTGAATTCATCATCTAAACACATGCTGCAGCTCTGGCACTTTTCCACTTGTTTTGGTTTATCTCAAAGCCGATACCACTTACATGTCTTCCGTCTGTCCGTCGCGATCCCAGACGTTTGTCATTTCCGTCAGTGCACACATTTGAAAAATTGATACTACTACTATTATTATTATTTTCTATACCTAAAAGCATTTCTTGGACCCTGCGTACCTGCACATGCTGCTCTTGCGTGAGCCGGAGCTGCTGGGGGAAGAGGGCGGAGTCTGATAGGACCAGGAGTAGTCAGAGCCCTTCAGATCTTTAATCACCTACACAGACACGAAAACAAGAAGAGTGTTTTTGGTTCACGTCGACTCTTTAGTGAAGCGAGCGATGAAATGAATCTGTCACCTGTTCACTGGCAGCAGGCAGCTTGTGAGGGTCGGTGGTCAGCACAGTGAGGTCATCAATAATGGCCTGGAGGTGTGTGATCTCTCCTAACATGGCGATCTCTCCATTCTGCAAAGTCACACCTTCGTTAAAGTATAAGCAAATAGAGTAAACATGAAAAATACTGCAATGTAAGGCATACGCAATTGATTTTTTTAGATTAGTCTAGTCTCGGGAGCCACCAGTAGCTCACCGTCCCCTTCCAGGTAGCTCACCAAAGGATTTAGATATGAACACATAAAATAAAATACTTAATATGCCAGATTGTATTGCTCATTATCATTATTAATTATTGTAAATTCACTAACTTTGTCACTAGTAACAAATATGCAATGATAAATAAGTTCCCAATACCAGGCTTGTTCTCACCAATATATCACCAATTTTTCTTTATTTTTTTCCCCAATGCCGCTTAAAGGAGTAGCTCTCTACCTTCATCGTCCCAGGACAGTAGCTCTCTGGGTGATAAAGGTTGGAGACACTTGATATAGATATTGTTGACATGGTAAATAAATATTCTATCTGGGGGTTTAATAATGTTTGTATCTCAGTGTTGTTTGACTTTGTATCTCAGAGTAGTTTTCTTGAATCAGGGAAGGATGGAGCATGAGATTTACAGATGCAGTGCTGTATCGGACGAAGGAACAGAAGTTTCCACCCTCACCTATGGCCATTACTTTTGAGGAATGACCAGAAAGAAACGATCAGTAATACACCCAAAGCTCTGTCCCACGATAGGAGCTCGGAGTAAAGCCACTGCTCCTCCATGTCAGTAGGAGCCAGCTGAACACACTGAGCTGGTCTGGGAACGCCTCGTCTGCCTCAGGAGCCACCAGTAGCTCGCCAGCCCCTTTCAGGTAGCTCGCCAAAGGAATTAGAATTTAAGAAATTACCTTGAATGAATACTTTTTGAGCCATTACACATCTTTTATACGTATAAATATAGGGTTATACAGTATTGTGGTGTATTTTACGTGTGTTCTCCGTGTTCTGTCGTAAATTATTAGATTTTAGATTTTTTACGACTGCAAAAAGGAGAAGCTTTGTATAAAAGTAGCTCTCTGATTCAAAACAGGCTGGAGACCCCTGATGTAGATGATGAAAGGAATTTTGACTTTTATCCTTTCTCTTAAACTATTTTATATTTTTGACTTAAAGGTGCAGTAAGTGATGTTGTTAGCTTAGCCTTAGCACCTACTTGAAACCCCTCCCCCCTCTCCTCGCCTCTCCATCAAACCAAACATCCAGCATTTTCTTGTCTTTGTCACAACAGGGAGAGCGGGCGGCAAACGTGAAATTGGTATTTTCTGTTCAGCCCTTTAAGGTTTTAGAAAATCCGATACCTCAGGTGCACTCGTGAGAAACAGGAAGAGGGTGAAGGCGGTAAACACATCCCATTGGTTCGTTGGGGATGAACGAATCCCATTGGTTAATTTTTATCGGTTCGCTCCAAAATATGTTTTATTAATTTTTGAAGACTATAGGCATCAGGTCAATTCCATTACTATTTCAAAACACATGATAACTTGACTACTTTTAGGGTTTAGGGACGTTTTCCCACAATATTTTAAAAAATATTGGTAAAAATCCCTGACTGCATCTTTAAGCGCTGCCTGCTCTCACCACCACAGGCTGCAAAAAGCCAATGAATGTGCAGAAGCGGCCCCTCTCCTCCACCAGGGCCCTCCTCACGGCCTGCTTCTCCGTCTCCTCCATCAGCAAGCACATGTCCGTCACATCCTGCATGGCACTGTCCAACTGAGGCTGCAGGTCTCCACGACCTGGGGAGCGAGGGCACACTGGAGGTCAAGGTGAGGGCAGAACAACACAGTCAAGTCTCCCCAGAACCAATCAGAGTAAAGTACAATCAATGAACACATGGAGAGGTGCGTGAGCGTGCATTTGAAGGCCATGATATTCTCCGAGCCAAGAAACACCGTATTTTGAAATCAATATATTGCTCTTTTCCAGATTCAAAAAGGTCAATGGTCAAAAAAATAAGGCCAGTTCAAAAACCAGAACATAGACAAAGTTACTCGAATAAAAAATTGTTCACTGAAAAATAAAAACATGGTACTGATATACTGATATTTCTAAATCAAGTCTCATAAAAAAAGATTTCTGAAATATACTGTATGGGGGGAATAGTCATGGCAATATGCTTCAAAAAGTGGATTGTGTAGAGTTTGTGTATGTTTTAATGTATTGATGAAATGCCCAAGCACCATTTCACTAATTCTACTGGTGAAAATGTTTAGAACGATGTGATGATTCATAAGTAGAATTATCTAGCACTTTGTAGAAATGACATTCTTAGAAAAAAGCAGGCCATGCAGGAGTGTAGAGTTGGAGAAAAGATGACATACTAAAACCTTAACAGCTATGGAGCCGTGCAGGACTGATTAATCAAGTCTAGACTGATTAATCCAACTTTTTAAAACCTCCAGCAAAGTGTAATATAGATGCCTTATATTACACACACCCAGAGATATCAGAGATGGGAAGAGTAGCCAAAAAACTGCACTCAAGAATGCAGCCACTGCCGAGTAGCAACACCAAATCTACATAAGTATCTAAAAATATACATAGATAGAGATTCTTCTTAGCTGCTGATGGATAAACTGTAATCTGTTTTGTGTGAAAGACTGGCACAATAATGTCACCTACAGATCATGTGTTGATTCTAATAGTAGTTTAACAATAGTATAATCATTTCTAAGCTTGTATTGTCATGAGAACTGCTGAGCCTGTGCATGTCATTCCTACATGTCTGTAAATAGTCAATCATGTGCAATGTCTAATGCTCCAACTTCAGAATATCACTTTATCTACTAATTACTACCCTGCCCTCTATGTACAGTATATAACTTTGCACTATACATATTTTTTTCTGAAAGACTGTTGTTGAAGCATTTACAGCTAGCTAAGCAACATAGCAGCTACTTGTATATGTTGTGTGCTGCCTGTGTGCTCTTACTACTGTCCTGTCTGTGCGCTGCAATATTGAAATTTCCCCACTGTGGGACAAATAAAGAATATCTTATCTCATCTTATATTGCTGTGTTCATCTGTGTGTATGGACTCCAATTTATGTTTATGTTATGTATTTGTGTCATGAGATTCATTAATTAATGTCTTTTATGCCCGATAATGGAGGCTCTAAGGACCGTGGTGATGATCCAGTCCGGGACCGGCAACGACATCTATCTACTTTATCAACATTTATGAACTTGGTCATCAGCGCCATATGGACCAAAGGCTCTATGTGTGTTTTTATCATTGCGTTTCCTGTGAAAATCAGAACAGGACTGGTGACACTGAAGCCTCTAGATATTTGCGATCCATAAGTCCTTTCCACACAGAGAAGGTATAATCACTCTGAAGTCCAAGTGTCACCATTCCAGTCTCTATACTCCTGCTGTTGGGCGAATATAAACTCTAGATGGAAGAATATAAACTATTGACGGTCGCCTGATAAGACTGCAGGTACAGTATGTGGCCTTGAATTGTCTCCATCACTCATGAAGTGGCAGAAGGACTTTTCATCAGATTCCTCTTCATACAGTAGATTTGCCTTGAACCTGGGGCCCCTGAATTTCAAACGAAAAAGTTGTGGCACAAACTGAAATCTATCAAAGGTGATCCAAGCTGTCAAAGAACTTGAAATAGTTGCTTTTAAATGTGTATTATGAAGTCTTCGTGGTTAAATAAAGTAGTTGCAATTGGAATACGGGCTCTTACTGCCTGTGATGCGTCTATAGCCTGAGTTGCCAGAACCACACAATTTTTAAAACAATTATTACGTCAATCAAATTCTTGCGAGAAATCATCTTGCAGCACAACGCTAATGCTAATGCTAATGCTAAGCGGTGACTACAGATGCAAACCACCTGCTGGGGTTTAACAAGAAACAGTGCAAACTCTGTATTACATTAGGCTACTTATTATGTATCTGCTTTCATTTAAATACATGTGTGGTGCTATTTTGCGTTTGTGAATTTGTTGTTATAGAAATACTGTATAAGATGGAGCCAAAACCAGCTACATTTCAACTACCAAACTGGCAACCCAAATGAGAGCCTCATTCTGCTCTCTGATTGGATGATCTGCTTGAAAACCTTTATTATGCTCATTGTATTGAACAAATATGTCCACTTTAAATCAAACAAACTTTTGGACATAATTGTTTATTTTTATTTATTCCTTGAGGGAACAAATTGTACATACATTGTACATGTATAGTTTTTTTAAATTATATTATTTATTTTATTTTATTTTGCATTGTCCGAGTAAAGACTCATTCATTCATTCCACTATGATTTGTACATGTTGACATAATATCTGGGAACTCATATAAAAAGATAAATTTAAATTTAAAACGTCTTTTCTGTATCAAATCCCTTTGGCTTTTCGGGGCATTAAACATGTTTTTCTCTGAATAGAAAGTCTGTATGTGATTATGGATATAACAGCCATGAAATTCAATGGCTTCAAAAAATTAGAATGTCTACTTCTATGCTTAGCAATATATATTGTGAGGTTTCAAAGTAGGCCGCACATCCCTGTAGTCTGGACTAGCGTGCGTGATTAAAAAAGTGAAAAACGTGAAAGCAGTGTTGATTGGGAGCAACTTAGCTGAGCGGATTATTTTCACTGTTTTCAGCAATATATCGTGACTCACTGCGACTATTCTCCCCATTCCTCCCACCTCTGGGCATTGAACCATCTCCTTTTGCGTGCGGGTATAGACGTGCATGACATGAATATGAAGAAGAGGTGAAATCTGCAAACTGAGGGATACTTACCCTGCAACTCTACAACAGGGACATTTGGGACGGGACAGCGGCAGAGAGGAGGGGGCAGCGAGAAGCAACATAAAGAGAGAGAGAGAGAGAGAGAGAGGGAGGGAGGGGCAGAACAGCACAACTTATGGTTAAGGTTAGTACAAAGAAGCCTTCCCAGCCACAGTGCAGAGGTTAGAGCAAATCAAACTGCCACGCAAAACGTTTAGAAATCATAGAAGCAGGAACAGGAATAAGAGTGATTTTATTGTTCTGAAAAGTTTAACTAAACACACTTTGCAATTTCACTTCATGGTCTGCAACTAGAATTAGATTTTACCAAAACACCGCAGCAGTTCATCAAAGTATAATGTCATATCAAAATCAGCCTGGCTTCCCACAAGTGTCTCTTTCTTGCATTTGTTTCTACTTTTTCGTATTTTCGTATTTCTGTATTTCTGTTGTTTTGAGTTTCAGGGAACCCACTCCATTTGAAGGAACAGAAAATTCTACAATGGTTTTGATAATATCCTTAAGTAGAGGTACCGCAACAACAAAATATCCTTCGTAATCCTGGCCTTTCCTTTTCATTGGTATTGAAACGTTCATGTTTAAAATGAGCTACACTTCACTAAAACCAAACCTGGAGCTGCTATGACTCATGAATGGTACATTTTAAAGCATAAGGAAGGACAAAGAAGGAGGTAATTTTGCTGAAAATAAAACTTCAGCCTTGTTAAATACAAAAAAATACAAAAAATTGCCTACAGTACTATGTTTTACCACTAGATGGAGGTAGAAACCAATTATCTCTCTACAGCTGTTTACTCCAGTCTATGACATTGAATATGAGCAGGTATGTCAAATCATGTCTATTCAATTCCAAATGATTCATAATTCAGAAGACCACATAAACACACACACACACACACACACACACACATATATTATACACTATGGTTTGCTGGTCCTGTACCTTTGCGCGCTTTCTTCTGCAGCTTCATGGTGTCAGATGACTTCTTTTTGATCTCATGACGTGACCTCTTGTACTCTGGAAGCAGAATCAACAGAGATGCATTTAAAGCCCGGAATGTCAGGCTGCTCAGGGCAATTATGTGCGCTACAACGGCTAATGTGCACAACAACAGCGGCAAGATCGGCCAGTCTTTATGGACGTGTCGGTAAACAGTAGAAATCTGTGTTGATGGAATAACAAAAAGGTAGCATCAAAGTGAATATGAAAACTACAGCGACCGTATGAAGTCAAGATCAGAAGAGGGCTTTCATTTTCAAACAGCCTCAAATGCTCTGTGTATATTTTCGTAACACGTGATTTGTTTTACTTCTATGATGCTTTGGGTTTTTGGAGAGAGGAATTTCAAGGGTTGGATTGTTTGCACTTTCATCCGTTCAGTAAACAAAGTGCAGTGCCTTCTTTGTCAGTGTTGCTGCTGGTTCGTTGTCTACGGCTTGAAATGCTTTGAGGATTGCAATAGTTCTGCAAACCTTTGGCGTGATCCTTGTCCAGCTGATTCGCAGTCTTCTTCCAGTCCTCGATCTTGTCCTGAAGAGGCGTGATGAGGCTCTCCATCAACGCGCTGTGGATCACGGACAACACAGAGCACACGTTAGACACCACATCCAAGGCCAAAGACCACTATATATATCATGGACTCAGACTTCCATTTTAATAGCCAAATCAGTAACATCAGCAGCTTTTTACCACTTAAAAAAACATTGTCAGAATCAAAAACACGTGTCTAAAGCAGACTTGGAGATTCTTACATAGTACATTCATACGTAAGTGACATGTTAGACTCATATGAACCAACTCTGACGCTGGTGCCAGAGTCAGAACTAAACAAGGAGAGGCTGAATTTCAGATTCATGTTGCTAAAATCTTCCTGAAAATGTGAGACAGGCTTCTTCTCTGACAATGTTTTAATCCAGGTTAAAATTATCCTCTGTGATCCGCCCCCATTGTTGTTTACATTTGTTCTCGGCTGCTGCGGATGTCCAAATGTATGTGCGGAGAAGGGGTGAGGTCATTGCAGACAGAGAGTTCACACCTTTTTCTTCACACAGCCGTGAAACAGCTCCCGCCGCGAAGCGCATCTGTTCTGTTACACGTTTTTCACCTGAAACACTGTTTTCATGTAAAGGGAAAGGCCAATCCGATACCCAACTCTAACTTTTACTGTCGCAGCGTCATAGACTGAGCATAGACTGCTGCGGGTCAGAAAACCAGTCAGTATCTGGTGTGACCACAATTTGCCGCAAGTAGAGCAACACTTGATCCGATTGTTGATAGTGGCCTGTGGAATGTTGGCCCACTCCTCTCAATGAAGTTGCTGGATATTGTCAGGAACCGGCAAGACGATGTTGTATACGGCAATCCAGAACATAATGTTTATATTTTTTGTTCAGTGTATGTCATGCAAATACACAAATTAGATCTGGACAGAACATATTGGCAACACGACAAATAAAGAGTATTGATAAAAATAACAGAAAGCAATTTTTCAGTTGCAAAATACAGAAGACTATTTTAGGGTACTGCAACTGTTTTTCACAACATTTATCAAATCATCTCATTAGAAAGACATGCTTTGAAGAGGACAATATTGTACTTTTGATCTCCCCCTTGTCAGTTATTCTGTTCCAAGCCGAGGGTATTGCACACTGGCCTTGAGATTGGATCAAGCTCCACAGCTGCTGCAGAAATGACTGGGTGCCAGTGGACGACAGTCTGCATACCGGCCTCACCTCCAGAGGGCCCATTAGAGCAGACATATATTCTAATCATCATTAACATCATGTGTAATAGCTGCGCTCTGGAAAAGTCATTAGTAATGTATGGAGTGGGGGAAACAAGGGCAAACAGAGGCTAAACATGTGCTGGGAAAGTCTTTTGATTGGTCAGTGATGCATTCCACAGAAGGCATGTATTTACATCCATGCACAGATATAGATCGTATCCTTTAATGCAACTATAAAAGCCGTGAGTAGAATTTGAATTGGAAGAGAAGACACACAATGACAAGGCTGGCAGAAGTACACGGCACTGAGATGTCTGAAGTATTTCTTGAATAAAAAAAGACATTACTTTGGTTTTTTAAAAGCATGTCTGATAATTAAGAGAGTTGCTGAGGGGGATTTGGAGGCACTTTGGGAGCAGTAAACCTGTCTATATACAGTATGTGCTATACAATTAAACTTGAAGGCACATGTGTCTGTGGTGTTCTTACTTTGTGAACTGTCGGAGTTTGGCCTCGATGCTGCGATGCCTCATGCACATCCGGGTGAGAGCTGAGCCGATGTCTCTGGTCGCCCCTGGAAACACAAATCGGTTCCACTTTTAGTTCCACATTTTCGTCCCACTTTTAGTAATGACGTCAACAAACAATCACAGAAATCACTTTTACTCCATAAATGTTACACTTAAGTTTCATGAGGTCCTCTGGGAAAAGTCATGAGGCGGAGAAATGCACATAAAGCCTTTACAAGTTGGGAAAAGGTGTTGCTTCACTTTCCAAATTACACTTTCAAAATAAGCTATAACTAAGAGTACAACTTGAGTGCAGTAAACAGTTGATTGTGTCGAGTTTCATCTGCCAGTTGCCAACAGAACCACAAATCTTTAGATAACTTTCGCCACACCACTTTAGCTTTTATCCATAATAAGGATGTAGCTATTGTGCAACCAAAACAAGAAGAATGATCATTATACACAACATCAGAAAACACATACGACTGAAATACAGAAACGGATTAGCTTGGGCTGTTGTCAACTACTGCATTACGTGATTTTTATGTCCGAGCTGATGCAGAAATATTTAAAGCAGATTTATATTCTACTTCAGGGGTGTCAAACCGGTCCTCAAAGGGCCGGTGTGGCTGCAGGTTTTAGTTCCAACATGTACAATACACGGGTCGCCAAGACTATTGTTTATGGCTTACTGAAAGTTACATTCATATACATGTGATACATTAAGCATGTGCAAAACTCATCACTCCTGATTCAACCAAAATCAGCAAAACTCCATTCTGAGGTCTGTTTGAGAAATTATGTCAACAACAGAAAATCTGGTTTGGCAGTTCCTATTGTGTCCTCGCTACAGCTGCACTGATGGAGAATGAGGGTAGACGTGTGGATCTGTCGGGTAGAGGCCCCTCCCTCCATTAGGTCCATAAAGCCTTGTCTTTTTAATGCACTACACAGAATCGGTTCCAGACACAGAGGGGAATGACTCCAGCTCTCAATGCACCACACGTTATTGGATTATGTAAAAAATAAACATTTAAATTCATTATTGCAATGAAATACGGAACATACATTGATCGATATTGCCGTTTTGTGGTGATGACGGTAAAAATCTGAATGTCATGTGAAAATTTGAATCTTTTTGCAGTCGCTTGAATGTAGAATTTATAATGGGGAAGGCACATTTCAGCTTTTGCTTCTGCCTTCTCCTTTTGAGCTTTGTTTTCTTGAATTATATGTGCATGTAAAAAAAAAAAATACATTGTAAAACTCAAATAAAACTAATACTACTACTACTACTACTACTTCTTCACTGCTTATAGACTGATTCCATGCTTTCAAATTATTATTTTACAGCTAAAAACATAATCATAGACAAGTTAGATGGTGGGATATGTGGGATATGGGCTAGATATGTGGGAGATTTCAATCAATCCCTAATTTTTTCTCAATATTAACTTTAGTGGCATCTTTGGAAACATTTGCAGGAGACTTTCATCATAAAAAGTGACATTGAGAACCATACAAACTTTGAATTTATATAAAAAATGCATTCTATATTGTACAACTTGATAATTACTCAAACAATTTCTCACTTTGGAAATAAAAGTATGCGTTTTTACCAAGTAGATAAAACAGCAAAACCTGGCAATGCTTTCAACCTTCTCTATCAACCCAGTGTTTACAAGCTCCTTTCTCCAGGGACACTTTAAAACCCTTCAATCCAAATAACCGTCTCCACTCGTGAGCGTGTGTGTGTGTGTGTGTGTGTGTGTGTGTGTGTGTGTGTGTGTGTGTGTGTGTGTGTGTGTGTATGCGTGTGTGTGTGTGTGTATGTGTGTGTGTACGTGTGTGACCCATATTCACCAGAGAAGAACCTAGCCACTGTAAACACAAGTCTATTTTCAGCCATAGCAGATCCCAGTGGAAAAAGCTGACCCCGCTGAGAAAGTCACTTTAAATGATACCAGACAAGCGCCAATTTCCAAACAAGGCCTTTTGGGACCGGAGGGAGAGTCCAGGTGCCGAGCTCATCCCTGATCAAGTGCCAAGTATCAGACAATTCCAAAGTGCTATAGGAGACTGTAGGAATGATAGTGGCTGTAAAAACTCGGGCTAAAAGGGTACAGTAATGGCCCTGCCTCGTCAAAGTAAACAGAGAGATCAGATCAGCCAAATGGGATTTCCGTAGATGACACATTGTTTATCGCAAGAGCTTAAGAGCACCGGGGCCAAGTAATTATTGCAAAGGGCCGGTTTATTTACTTACGAGGGATAGTGCGCGTGTGATATGATGCCTTCCGGGTCAATAAGGTGTATTAGCAGTTTATGATTTTAACCCTTTAATAGTTTCCTCAACCATTTGGTGGATTACTTTGGAGTCACAATTTCTACTTGAAGCTTGGTTGGAACTGAAATCTACCTTTTCTACCACCAATCTGCATCTCAATCATTTGGTAAAGGCCTATGAATAATAGAATAAAATAAAAACACCTTAAACATAATTATTTGTTTTTTATGTGTGCTCCTACATCTTAGAAAATCAGAAAAAGCAACATTCATATTGCTTTCTTTAAGTGAACATTAAAGGGTTAAGGATTATGCAGACGGGATAAAATTTACAATAAACAACAATTGAATATGATTAGAAATGTTTTTCTTCTATAATCGACCAATAGTGACAGCCCTATACAATTAAATATGTGTAAAAGTTATAGAGAAAACAACACATACGCAGACCACAGTGACAAATTAAAGTAAGAAACTATGGAATTCAGAAAAAAATGAAAATTTAAGGTAAGGGTAATGTTCAGCGGTTCATGATTAAAAATAGTGTTTGCTTAGAAATAATCTCCACATGTTCTGTATGTTGAAGACCTGGAACCATGAAGAGAATCAAAAGCCTTGATAAATTGGGCATTGAACACACTGTACATGCAAACCACCTCAAATGGGGCGAGATTTATGCTGGACACCGAAGAATTCTATTCGGGTTAAACGACCCAGAAACATGACGGCCCCCGATAAGAACGGATGTGAAAAGGTGATTAATTGCCTCCATTCATATGAATTTCAGCTTTGAATAAACAGGAAGAGACTCCGTTCACAAGAATACACCGCTGTGCCATAACTTCTTGAGGGTGGAATGTCACGGATTTATATGAAGGAGGACCCAAAAAGCAAGAATAACCAAAAGAATAATGATTTGAAGAATAAAAGTCCAGGAGAATTACAAACACCAAAAACACAGAGATTACAGGGACGGTACAATGAACCAGCAGATACTGGGGATGAGCCATAGACTGTATATATTAACGGACAGAGTCACGCCTATCTCCGCCGTTCTAACTAATGGGCCAAAAAATGTGCTCTACTGGAGCTATCCAAAATGGCCGCGACTGGTCCCGCAGCCACAAGAAAATTGTGAAAAAACGCATCTGCGCATGCGTCAGCCGGCGCAACTCCATTCATTTGAACGAGAGATTTAAAAAATTCACAGCAAGTAAACTAGAGTGGACCAAAAACATTCACCCATGCATTGACACACATGTGGAACAGAGCTTTGGGCCAAGAGCCAACTTTTGGTCCATCCTGTAAAGACGTTTTTGAGAGGTCTGCCAATGCTATATGTTAGCATTGGCTAATTCTTCTTCTGGGTCCACCCCCATCAGCCCGGGGTGGTATTGCAGCATGTCAGCACACGTCATTTTGCCACTCGGGCAGCACGGTGGCTGAGTGGATAGCACTCTCGCCTCTCAGCAAGAAGGTCCTGGGTTCAAATCCCGGTTGGACCAGGGCCTTTCTGAGTGGAGTTTGCATGTTCTCCCCGTGTCTGCGTAGGTTTCCTCCGGGTGCTCCGGTTTCCCCTACCACTAAAAATATGTACAATAGGTATGGCATGTGCCTCCTGTACTGGCACTCCCAAAAAAATAACAATTGTAAACCGCTTTGAGACTCCGATGTGTAGTGAAAAGGCGGTATATAAATAAAAGCTTACTTACTACTACTTACACTTTTGAGCTGGGACCCGCCCCCACTGGGATGAGCACAGGTACATACTGCATAGACAGAGACAGACACGGGGCAAACACATCAGGGCGGGGCAGACAATCAACCGGGGAACAAGACAGGAAGTAAAACTCAAACCAAAACCACAACTGAAGTCAAAATAAAAACAGTTCCAAATAATACAAAGTCCACAAACCTGTCCAAAATGATAGTATATATATTTTATCACTACAACTGAAGGATTTTTATGTTTCTTTTTAATTCACTGTGGCTATTTATCATTTTAATCCCGTTTGAGATGTTAATGTTTTTTAATTACATGTGATTTCATCCAGTTTTTAATATCTCTTGTGTCTTTTTTTGTATATGTAGCTTCTAATTAGGGCTGCACGATATTGGAAATCAGTGCGATATTGGATTTGAGTGTTTAGTATTGCGATAAAGATATTATTGCGATATTTTTGTATTTCACCTAAAATTGCAATTTGACAATTTTAGACAAATTTAAAAAATAAGCAGAACATTAATTACATTCAAATGCTTAAATATCTATATAATTTTTTTTGTTTGTTGAATGTTTATGTGTCTGTTTTGTTGTCTTTAATAAAGAAAAAAAAAGTTTGTAAAGCGGATTTTTTTTCATAACAATATTTTTTCGATATATCGTGCAGCCCGAATTTTAATGTTTATGATTTGCTTGATATGATGTGGGTTGTGAGGCGCTTTGTGTTGCCTTGCGAAGGAAAGGCGCTATACACATAAAAGTTGATTGATTGATTGATTGAATATTCATCCAAAATTACAGTCTATTTGATCAGAATTGCAGATAAACAAAACAAAAAACAGAAAGCAAATGGCCACATGATTCACTTCAACAGCAGGTTCAGCAATGCACATATTGTACGGACAAATTCCTACACACTCTCGCGGCACCATGTGTGTAAATACAGACACAACGCTGGTCAAATCTCCAGAGAAGCGCTCCATTCATAATTAACAAATTCCTTCCTTGCGCCTCCTGTTCCACCCGGCAACCATTCATTAAGCCGGGACTCCCTCT